GTGTTGATGACTAAAAATTCAAAAAACAAAAATCGAACTGAAAAAAATGGCTCCAATTATACACACCTGCAGACGGTGTGATTAGCTTGATAAGATTCCCACGCCATTACTCAATTTTTCTACAATTTATCTGCAGCAGACCAGATGCTAACACAGTTTTAGTGTTAGCTAAACATGCTAAGCAAAGGTTATTGTCACAATATTAATGCAGTTAAAAAACAATGAAAAGTGTTCGAAATGGAATTATGGTTAATAGCCATGGATTAACGCTAAGTAAACAGTGTCTCTGCTGCCGGAATCCTAAAAATGCAGAAATTAATGCGAGAGTAATTATTCTGGATGATTAGTTTTCCAATGTCACCAAAAGTAAATTTTGTCTTTTGTCATGGGAAAAAGGCAACATTTGTCATAATACTTATTGGAAAATCTCAATGATATGTGGTAACTTCATACAAATATAATATTTGCAGTCATTGGTTTTTGAGGACATAAGGGGACGACATATTTATGACGTTTTGTACACTGGATGACTCTTTCCATCAGAATTTTCGCTGCTTTTTGCTCCTACCCAGTACATGCGAGTAAGTGATCAGCAAATGGAAAAAAAATAATTGTTTTTAATTTTAAATTAACTGGTATTTTCAATAAAAACAAAGCACTCATCACTCCCACATTTTCATACAAGTCCATGGTTCTCATTAGATAGGGACACTTTCCTAATGAAGATAAACGTTAAAACTCAGCAACTGCCATAGCAGTAAACAGATAGATGCTTTAAAAATAACAAATATGTTCACAATTCAGTGTATTCAATATAAATGGAATAAGGCATCTTTATGTAGATTTAAATTGAAATCAGGTTAAAATATGAAATGAAACAAAATTTGGAGAGAATTGTACCAATAACCTTATTTGATTGTATGGGGAGAGAAAAATTCTTTGATTTGTTTTCTATATGTATGTACTATGTAAGTATTTTCTTGAAAAGCGGAAGGGGGAGGGGGGTTATATAGTGATATGGATGCCTGTCTGTGCGCCCATCCGTCCGTTACGCTTTGGGGTACCCATCCCTTATCTGCAACTCCTCTTATACCCTTGAATAAATTTTGATGAAACTTTCACAGAATCTTTAAAATTACATTGTGCCATTGTGCACCTTTATTCTACTTTTTCATCGCACACATATTTCTGGTTTCCCATAATTGAGACTATTGAGAAAACCATTCTTTCATAGGCACTTGTTTCTGTAATATTTTTTTGACCTTTAGTATCACACTTTTGACCTATAATAGTAACACGCGTATTAATATTATACTATGGGTTAAAAAAATTATTACCGAAACAAGTGACTGTGCATTCTTTCTATAATATTGAAAGATGCTCACTTTTATCCGCAACTCCTACTACATCACTGAATAAAACTTTATGATACTTTTACAGCTTCTTTATTACATAATGCCATTGAGCATCTCCTTTTTTCTGATCTGACTTTTTTTCTGCGTCTCCCAGAGCAAAACATAGACTTTGCAATTATAATCATATGGGAGGCGGGGTTATCATTTAGTGAGCTCAGCTGCGGTATCTCTAGTTTAATTATTGAAAAGAGGGAGGGTATATAGTGATCGGGATGCCCGTCCGTCTGTCCGTCCGTACGTTACGATTTGGGGTACCCATCTCTTATCCGCAACTCCGTATATACCACTGATTGATATTTTACAGATTCTTTGTTATTCTTTCTGTTTTGTGCCATTTTGCACCTCTTATTTTACTTTTTGATCGGAAACACGGGTTTCCCTTAGCTGTAAAACTGTAACTCTTCGAGAAAAAAAAATATATTGACAGACCCGAGAGCTACAGAGCCAAGTGCCTTTGAAAAAACTGTATATTTATAGAGAAGGAAAAAATTGCGCTCGATTAATTTCTCCAAATTCTTACCTAAACTATACAAAAGCTCATTTTCAAAACATTCCTTTGACTGTATCATTTCATTATGTGATATCTGCGTTGGACTGAAATATCCCACTGCCCATAATGACAGTGTAAGTAGGAAAAATGGTCGCATTCCAGGCTCATGAGGGCTATTTATAATGGTCATAAGACATTTTTTAGCCGGGCTTATTGCTCGAAGAGCAATTGCCGGCTTATGTGATCCTGTTCAAGGCAGGATGTTAACCCAATAGTCGCCATTTTAAAGTTACGTGCAAACATATAGTTCTTACTCTCAACCGCTTTTGAGATAATACAAACGCTAAATAAAGCAACAAAAATAAAACGAAGTTTATTCTATATAAAATAAACATAAGTAGTAATGACTTTGAAAACTTCATAAGTCAAAGAACATAGTTCATTAGCGTTAGGATTTTTGATAATCAGTGTTACCGTAGTTCTCTACATATACGAGGTAAAGCAGGAGAGGGAACCAGACTGGTCTGTTTGTTTACATTCAGCTGCGGTACCAGATTAATTCTGATTCTGACAAAATCGGACAGTGGTATTAGGATTGAAAAACTCACTGTCAGTGTCTTATCATTTATACTGATAGTTTTAAAATAATTTTTTCATCAGAATATAAACGTGATTCATGTAAGAAATCCATTCTACTCTTTAAATGAGCCCGGCTCTCTGTACTTCTGAGTACTTTGATTATTGTTGTGGAAATGTAAAAGAATAAGTTCTCGGAACATACTGTTATAGTAATATATTGAGATGACACTTTGAAAAACAGTGAAATAAATCGAGAAAAGTAGTATAAACCGTCTGGATGGACGGGTCATCTGAGTGCACTTTTGGGGCTGTGGGGGGATAGGCGGTTCAAGGGAGTGCAGCCCCTGTGGGGGATAGGTGGGTCAATAGAGTGCAGCCCCTGGGGAAGGATAGCCGGTTCAACTGAGTGCAGCCCCTGAGGGATAGCCGGGTCAAGGGAGTGCAGCCCCTGTGGGGGATAGCCGGGTCAATTCAGTACATATAGCCCCCTAAATACGGGGGTCTGTTTACACTGTGTTTACATTATATACTATACGCTGCTACTACGATTTTGTCAGCGACTCAAGAATTTAATTATAACGTCACGCTTCACAGTCTACCCAGCCTAGCCTAATCGGTTCAAACTGATTTCCTCAAAACAATAAAAACCTAGATTTTTTACTGAAAACAATTACAAAAACACACATGGTTTATATACCTTTACTGTAAGGGCCCTGTGCATCAATACGTTTTACCTCCGTTTTTATACCTGTTGCATCATCTGTAAGGGGGCCGTGTGCAAAACATACCATAGACTTACCTATGCATTGTGACGTCATAAACTTGGCAGCGACGTCATGTTAGTCCTTCACAAGCCGCGATGGCTGCTTATTTTGACACAATAACACAGACTTTCACAGCGCTTGAGACTTCATGTAATAACAGTATGGTCCTATGGATTTCAGTACCAAAACTGATTTTCTACCGTTTTTCTTCCAAGAAAGTTCTGAACAGCTGAATCCTGGATCAGCCTAGATGTTATTTCACTGGATTATTTAATGAATATTACTCTACTGAGTTACCTGGTTACATGGTAAGTTTTAACAAACTTTTCTTTATACATTTTCTATGAAGGTCATCTTTGTATTTATTCATTATTACTGTGTTATATACCTTATGTTTAGAACATTCATATAAACACTGCCATTGTTTACCCTGAAATACACTAGGACACTAAAAGATCCTTAAAATGTTGATAAATCTTTTTTGCATGAGTTATGATCATATTGTCTCACATTCCTTTTATTGGATCAGTATTCTAAATATTCTTATGAGGAGACTCCTAGCATATCTTATAAAATACTGATACATGCTTGTAAAACAACTAAAGTGATATTCTCAGTTGTTATTTCTAATATTTCTATGAATCTTTAATCACAGTGACCAAAAGAAGGATATGGAGATAATCAATCAGATCATATTATGCCAATGAATCTTTTGTCTCAAATCTTTTTAATGAAATATACAGAATCTTTTGCCTTATTTGTCACTCATATTTTTACATTCTGGTGCAACAGTGGCCCAATGAAAGTGGGAAAAACTCAGTCTGAGCATCTCTGTAAATCTATAAACATGTGTGCCCCCCCCCTTTTTTTTTAAACCTTCATGTATATACATGTATGTATTTTATTTAGTCAGTGATTTCAAACATCAACATGTAAAATATATATTGAGTACTTTAAAAGTGAATATGCATGATTTTTACACCCTGAATATTCTGACATACTAATGGTGACATCAGTTAAAAGAGTAATTAGTTATGTAAAATTCAGTTTATATGAATGTAAATGGGGTATTTATTCTCAGTTCATGTAAGGTATAATTTGCATGTAACCCAGAGTGTATTTAATATTACTACGATGGGTCATTCTGTGATTGAATTTAAATCAGAAAAAATGTTTACTAAATTTTGGTAAAATACATATGGTATCTTTTACATTTCTGTCGTGTTTGTCTGTCAATTGTTGCTTTACTTCCTTTGTAAAATGAGGTTAATTTGTGTATCACTGAATATTGTATGCTTTTTTTCAGGATCAGCTAAGATGTTGTTTCACTGGATTATTTAATTGGGCATATAATTGGACAATTCTGGTAAGTTTGTCTTTGTTTTGTTTACATTTCCTATGAAGGTCATCTTTGCATTTAACCACGATTATATGGTTTAATTTAATTACTGTGTAATTCTTATGTGATCTAATATCTCTAACATTCATATAAGCACAGTCTTATTTTGTCTAAAATATACTAAGGAAACTTCATATTGTTAATAAGTCCTTTTGCATAAATTATGATATAATGTCATAATTCATTATATCTGTTACCCATGGAATTCAGACTTACTAAATTGTGATCTATAAGGAATGTAATAAAAGAAAAAGTAAGAATCTACAAAAGGTTTATCCTTGTTTTTGATTCTAAATATGTGGTATATATGGCATACATATATTTTCATTTTCACTTTTGTTTCTTGGTAATGAGCTTTTCAAAAAATGTAGGACTACATGTTGTATATGCTAATATCTTTTTGTATGCTGTACTGACAGGTATTAAACAAAATTGAATATGCTGTTAAGAGAAAGTCTGTTAGTGTCTAAAAATTACACTGATAATCATTTTGTATTTGTAATATTAATACAGTAACTGTGCTTCTTTTGTTATCTAAAGATAACATGATGAACTATTTTCATGAACTTTTTAGCACTGTATTTAAACATGCCATGTTTCATGCAGTTCCTTGTCATATTAACAAAATGATTATATTTTCTATACAGTCCTCAACCTGGAAGATATGTTTTGTTCCTAACCATCTATAATCCATTCTCTATGAAGTTCAGCCTGTCTGCCCAAATTCCTTTGGAAATACATAGTTAGTCAACCAACATAGAAACAATCAAACTTGAAGGTAAAGTTTCAATGAGATATCATTTTAATTTATTTAATTCTGTTTTATTTAAATGTTTAAATTTTAAAATGGATAAAAAAATGGATAAAAAACATCTGATAATGGAAATCAATATCATAAAGATAGTAAGTTTTTTAGTGTCTAAATAATTAATCTGATAATCATTTTATTTATGATATTAATACAGTAGTTGTGCTTGTTTATTATCTATAGATAACATGATGAACTTTTCTCATCTGGAGTTAATGTTAAAAACAATTTTTTGAGATTAAAAACAAATATTTTCATGATCTTTTTTGGTATTTAAGGAGTTCCAAATTCAAATATAGTAGCCTATTTGAAATGTACGTTACTGTCGCCGAGTCAAATATTATTCTGAATCCCCTCTGTGTAATATATAGTTTTGATTCTCAAGTAAAAGTTTTCTGATAAGTTAAACCTTGTATCATATATATTTCTTTTCATAACAATAAATATATTTTCTTTGTGATAATAAATAATTTTTATTGAGCAATGTCCCTGTCGCTTAATTCTATTTTAACAACGTTACAAGCAAACACAAAGATTATACACCTGATAGTTTTGTTCTCCTTTATTTATTGATGGGCTACATTTGAAATTTCAAAGGGTTAATTACTCCTACTTAGATAATGTAACATGAAATTGAACAACTTGAGCAACTTTTAGAAATATGTTTACGGAATGAAAGACATTTTCAATCGTAGAGATAAGAAAGAAATGTACGTTACCTATATTCTTCCATTAAGAATACATATTAAGTAGAAAATATGAGACGACTCTGAATAAGCAACCCCTTGTATCCTGTAAACTGGCAAAGACGTTTTGCTTAACACAATTAAAAATTATTTTTTACATGAAAAGTGATCATTTGAAATGTACGTGACTGAAATGTACGTTACCATGAAATTCGAATTAAGTGAATCTCGCACGAATTTTCATGTATTCTAATACTTTCACACACTCGAATGTGTACACAAAGGAAAGTTTCAAAGGTTGGAGGTCGGCTAAATCCCAAAATTAATGAAAAGAAACGTCTCTGCTGAGGAAAAAAATATATTAAGGTTCAATTATTATGTAATATGATTTTGATACCTGGTATATATTTCTGAATACGAAACCTGTATGATGCATTTCTTATGATATGCAGGTTCAAATAGTATCAATATATTGCGCGTCTAACGTATGCTTGTGGAAGAGAATTTATTTTTATATTTGAAATGTACGTTACGTATGGTAACGTACATTTTATGTATTTCTAACTGACATTTTTTTAATTTAGTCTATGAATTGCGTTTACACGAGCGAAACGAAATTATCGTTACAATCCATTTGACAACTGGCCACATCTAAATGCACCCCAATCCTCGTAAATGTTTTAAACTGTTACCAAATGCTAGAAAATTTATTTCTAAGTGTCTTAAATTCATCTTTGGCAACCATTTTGCAGTTTGTTTACTTTTCATGTGCGACTTTTCGTCAATATTAATTGAATTGTTGTTGATAATTTAAAACAAGGTATGCATAGGCTTATAATTGTTAAAAAAAAAAACAAAAAAGAAAAGAAAAAGAAACAAAACAAGTAAACCTAGAACACAAGACGGTCACGTGCATTTCAAATACTGAATACTCAGTTTTGTTTGAATAATTGCATTTGGGGTTATATTTTTCCAGATCTGCTGAAAAGCACGTATGTTTGTGTTTTGAAAAACGATGTTGCAACATACTAAATGAAATTGTTAACAAGACTGTCGATGGATATATTCGAATAGATTTATGTTAAGTTTCAATGGCCAAACACGAACATTTGTTAGATCATAGCAAAATACATCTGACTCATATTTTTTTGTCTGTAACCTTGCACACAGTTAGAAGTAACTAGGCTACGACCGGTGTCAATTTCAGCGAAACAGCACAAAAGAATGGTTATGAACTGAGGTGGAGGGGACACCCCAAAAATATGTGAAATGAACGTTACCGAAGTGACGTAACATTCATGTAGTTGATGACAATCACCTCGTTTGTTACATTATGATTTCTTATATTACTGCCTTAAAACGCTTCATTGATATGATTTTTATGTCAATAATTGCTTTTTTTTCAATATTTTCTTATTACTAATTTACATATTATTACAAGCGTGAAATGTACGTTACCTACTCATATTCTGAGGCAATCGTGTCTTTATAGTGGTGATTGTGACATATAACACAGTGAGATTACATAGAGAATCTTTTTTGGAATAAACTGAAACAAAACGATGAATTTTTAGATGAATTTTAGATGAATTTTAAGCTTTTTATTAAACAGAAATATATCTTGAAATGTACGTTACATTTACATAGTTTTCTAAATCGGCATGAATATATGTTAAAAAAGACAGTAACTACAAAATAGAACTTTACTACATGTACATGTTAGGTTCCAGTATCTATTAAAACTGACAAGATTCCAAACTGATCGCTCTTAACAAAACAGAGAGAAGAATTTAAAGCATATATTTAAAAAATGTTTTTACACATCTGGATCAAAAAGTAACCTTTGTTTTTTGAAAGGAAAAATCAAACGCACGTTCGTATGCCGAGAAAATATGTTGCTGACAGAGTTGGTAGGATGTGCTGGTGTTAAGATGAGATATTCCAATTGTGATTTTAATGACTACATTCTTTTTGACATATTTTTTTGGACATTGAAGAAAGAGTAACGTACATTTCAAGCTACATTTCTGAATAAAATTACCCTCTACTTTATCGTCTTGTCATTATTTCATGTATTATAATTTGATGAAAAAAATCTGGAAACAAAATCTTTCTTTCAAAGGTAATTGATAGAAAAATTGTTATCTTGAACTTCATTTTTTTAAAAAGTCAGAGAGGCATTTGTGCCCTTATATTGAGAATGGGTGATAGTTAGTCAACCAACATAGAAACAATCAAACTTGAAGGTAAAGTTTCAATGAGATATCATTTAATTTATTTAATTCTGTTTTATTTAAATGTTTATATTTTAAAATGGATAAAAAAATGGATAAAAAACATCTGATAATGGAAATCAATATCATAAAGATAGTAAGTTTTTTAGTGTCTAAATAATTAATCTGATAATCATTTTATTTATGATATTAATACAGTAGTTGTGCTTGTTTATTATCTATAGATAACATGATGAACTTTTCTCATCTGGAGTTAATGTTAAAAACAATTTTTTGAGATTAAAAACAAATATTTTCATGATCTTTTTTGGTATTGTACATGTTGTATTTAAACATGCAATGTTTCATGCAGTACTCTGTCATATTAACAAAATGATTATATTTTCTAAAGTCCTCAACCTGGAAGATATGTTTTATTCCTAACCATCTATAATCCATTCTCTATGAAGTTCACCCTGTCTGCCCAAATTCCTTTGGAAATACATAGTTAGTCAACCAACATAGAAACAATCAAACTTGAAGGTAAAGTTTCAATGAGATACAATTGTAATTTTTATTTATCTATTTATTTATTTATTTATTTACATATGCATTTTTATATTTTTGAATTGATAAGTAAATGATCTATGATTTTTTTTTAAATAAAGAGGGCTTGGTGGTCATGGTCATGTTTAAACTCTATTGATATCCTTTAGAAGAAGAAGAAAAGGCATAAAAATTCATGATCAAATTTTTAAAACTAAAATGTAGGAAATTTTTCTTTGCCAAATGATAGTTAACAGCTGAAGATAGCATATTTATAGAATAAGTTAAATATGGGTAATTTGTAACCCCCCCCCAGCTTCCTTAATATCATAGTTGGTAAAGATAGCAAGTTTTGACTTCAATTGCTGATGAATTTTGAATTTTTCATTTAATATTAACATTCTATCAAAGAGAAAGAATACTATAATGTGGCCCATTAGGATGACCAGAAAAGAAATCTTAATGACCCTCTTGATTATGTATAAAGATTGTAACCTTATAACTGATGTAAGATGATCTGATTGTGTGGAATTAAAATTTCCTGGTGTTTCTACTACCCAAGATCTTCTTATGAGTGCATGGGACTGCTGTAAACCTTCTGTTTATAAGCACACCTTGGAGCATGACACTTTATTCATAAAAGGCACTTTCAATATCATTTCTATGAGTT